TAACAGAGCAGACTCTTTTGTAAAAAAAAAGCAACATATAAAAATATAATATATGTAAAGAATATTAAATATAATAGAATTGGATATTATTTAAAATAGAAAAACAAAAAAATTGATATATTGACAAAACTTCTGTATAAAATAATAATAGTCAAAATTAGAACCAGTTGAAAAAAAATAAATCTAATTAAAATACTAAAACCAGAAACAAAAAATACATTAAATAATTGGTTAAGTTTTTTAAAAAAAAATAAATAGAACAAGAAAAATTTATTGTATCTTAAGAAAACTTAGTATAAAAAAAGTTATAGCAATTAAGTACATAATAAATAAACTATTTGAAAAACTAGAAAAAGACTAGAAATATACACAACAACAGAATGTTAGGTATGCCAAAATAGAAAAAGAAACCTAAGTATACTTAACAAGTTATAGTAAGCAAAAAAGTCTATAAAAGCAGATCCAAAAAGTAACAATAATAGTATAAAATGAACTCAAAGAAAAAAAAACCCCTCCAGAATTCTGTTACAAATATTATGCAAAACATTATTTGAAAAAATAAAAAAAAAATAATTGTGAATAAAAAAGTATTGATAAAAGAACTTACTATATTAAAAATAAAAAAAAAGATTCAAATAACTATTAAACAAACAGACAACATAAAAATATATAGACATAATAATAAGAATAGTATAAAACCCTTTTTATAACCAAGTATGAAGAATCTGCTATAAAAAAATGCAAGAATAAAAAAAAAAGACCAACATAATAAATAAAATAAAGAAAGATGCTTATGCAAGAAGAAAGTTAAAAAAAAAATAAGATAAATAAGCAAAAAAAAATAAAAATAAAAAAATAAAAAAACTGATTGATATGCTTATGACTAAAAAGAAAAAACCTTTCTGGCATAACTTTAAATAGTTAGATGAGCAATCTATCTCTAACTAAAGTAATATAACATAACAGGTTGCACTTAGATACTGTTAAGATAACCGAGTAATGCTAGACTTAAACATTGGGAAATTCTATGTAATTGTATATTTATATAGTTTTAAAAAATCTTAATAAAGTACTAGCGTAACTGCTTAAGATTAAAAAAAAAAATTTATAACCTATATTAAAATTCTACTTTGATGCAATTTTTTAATATCTTAATATTTTATTATATGTACTAACCTTTTTCATATAGTATAAAAAAAATGTTCTTTTTCCGGTTTTATTTTATTTTTAACCCTAACTTTAATTCAAATTCTTATAAATATTTATTTTGCTATAAAATGCATCAAGTGTACTTTTATTTCAAAAAATTATTCTAATCATTATTAAAATATTTTAATTTCAAAGTTTAAAAACATTTTACTTGGAAAAAATTTGTCTGTTTTCTATTAACCCTTCTTTATATATTAAAGTTCCTAAATACAATCTGAGCAAAATAAATAAATAAAATAAAATCAATATATTAAACTATTACAAAATGTATTTAATCTTTTGTTTATAATATTGAAATTAAATCAAAAATAATAATAAATTCTTGGATCAAATGTAAACTAAAAATCTAGTATACATCCACGTATTCTTCGATTAAATGATTAGCAAGTATAAATTTCATTAGATTTATCTCTAATTATCATATTGATTTTAAATTGGCTTTTTTCATCGCTTTTTAACCTAACTAGTGAGTATAACTTTGTTGCATTAAATGCATTAAAGCTATGGATGTTTTAATTATAGTATCAAATATTTAATAGTTTCATAATTAAACAACATCAGATTCTACGCCAAGCTCCTGTTGCCTTTTTCGTAAAACATTACTAATAAAAAATTCACCCGCCTTATAACTACTTCTGACCAAAGGTCCTGAAGCTGTATATAAAAAGCCTAAGCTATCCCCTACTTTTTTCCAATATTCGAATTTTTTTGGTGTAATATACTCATAGACTTTCATGTGCCTTTTAGTGGGACGCATATATTGTCCCAAGGTGATGCAATCAACTTCAATCTTACGCAATTCTAATTTATAATTTTGTATTAAAATAATGCAACTATAAAGTATCTTCAAAAATAATCAGAATTTATAATTACCTTTCAATGCATCCATTACTTCTTGATCACTTTCTCCAACTCCAAGCATTATACTAGACTTTGTAATCAAACTTGGTTTGATTTTTTTAACATGCTCCAATACCTTTAAACTTTGTCTAAATGTAGCCCTACGATCTCGAACGAATGGCGTTAATACCTCAACTGTTTCTATATTGTGTGCATAAACGTCCAAACCAGAACGTGCTACTCTGGCCACACAATCGAGATCACCCTGGAAATCACCCGTAAGACACTCTACAAGAATGTGTGGTGCCCTATAAAGTTGAAAGTACATTGATTTTCACTTTTTAAAAACTAGACATTATAATAACATTGTAACTAACTTCATTTTGAGCAATCGAATTGTTTTTGCAAAATGTTCAGATCCCCCATCTGGAATATCTGGATTTTCATTCGAATAATAAATAATATTAACAAATTACGAAAATGATAAAAATGCATAATATCTATCATACCATCTCGATCAACTGACGTTAGTACAACATAATCCAATCCCCACTTCGAAATCGCCAAAGCAACATTTTCTGGCTCATTACTATCTAATGGTTTTGGTGTTTTATTTGTTTTTACTGAACAAAATCGGCAACCCCTTGTACACTCGCTACCCATAAGCATGATAGTTGCTGTGGCTGTTTTATGTTCACCCCCACCCCAGCAATCGCCAATATTTGGACATCGCGCCTCTTCACAAACCTTTTTAAGTTACAAAATATACAAATGATTTAGATAAAAACGTTAAATATAACGATAACAAATAATTAATAACCTACAGTATGAAGATTTAATCCACGCAAATCATTTTTTATTCTAGTATAATTAACACCAACAGGGACTTTCGTTTTGAGCCATTCTGGCAATCGTTGATATCTAATGTAACAAATATTTAATAATTTAATTAGATCATTATAAAAGAATATAAATATTTCACCATTGAAGACGAAATTTATATGTTTAACTAATCAACTCGTTTCACAGGTTTAAAGGTTAAACCGAGGGCAGTGCTTATTTGTGATAAGATACGATACCTCTAAAGGTTGGCAAATAATGCGTTTTTTGTGTGGAATGGAACAAAGAAAATTATTTGTTCTAAATAATTTGCAATTATTTAAAAATTCCAAGTGGAATAATGAAGCAACGAACTGGATCAGACGAAATTCCCAACAATGCACCAAAAATGCCAACCCTACATAGTATAAAGACTTGAAGACTAAATATACTTACGTTATTTTGGCATTTGATTCATTTTCTTCTTTTGAGCTACGGTTATTAGGAGAGACTGCTTGTTGTATTTGACGAAAGGAGGAACTTAAGCCTGGCGAAACCTCTGGAGAAAGATAAGGCCTTTGAAATTTTAATAAATTACGGAATCTTGAAAAAGGCCGAGCTACATTGGTAAATGAATGCATTTTTAATGATGTGTTGTATCAGGCATGGCTTATTTGGGGTGTATACTATCGGTCAATTTACAAACACAGAAACACAGTGCAGGTCATAATGATAATCACTGATTTAAATTATAGTTTCGATGTAATAAACCATTTCATATATTTAAAATAAGAATTATGGTACGTATAAACTTTTGTTTTTTACCTTTTTAATTCGACCTTTTTAATTATACGTATAATTCTATTTAAAAACCGTTTCTTCACAATAAGTTTATGAGCAAATTCTATATGTATTCAAAATATTCGCTCAAAATGCAAAAAGATATTCGTGCAACATTTATTTTTTTTTGTATATTTAATACTATAGATGCATATAGAAGTAATATTTTAGTGAGTACTAATCTTATTTTTACAAATTCCTTAATAATTATAAATTAATTTTGTAAGTTTAAAGAATTCTTCTCTTAAACTTAGCATATTATGCTCTTTTAGGTTTTCACTAAAAGTAAAAATTTTGAATATCGACTTCTTTGATTACGTTTTTTACATCCTATGATAGTAGATGCTTAAATATTAATGAAGCAAAGAATTTGCGTCAAGAAATTTATAAATAAAATCGATTTAAAAAAACAAATAGCGATAGAATTAGGCCATACAAATTTGATTTCAGGTTTTCAAGTGGATCACGTGAAACGATAACTTTTATGGGGTAGTTTGTATGAGCTATGAGCTATGTTATTCTCTAAATTGGTTCAAAATCCGATGAATTTTTTTTTTTGGTGACAAAGGCTTCGTTTCGCTCAGCCTTGTCACCACGTTTCAGAATTACAGTACGTACTCCACACTGGATTCATATAGGTTTAGAAAGGATTAGCAAATTCTTTTGTTATGGCTTTTTCTTTCGTTATGGCTTTTGCTTGTGATTATCAAACTGCGATAAAAAATTCGTAATAAATAAACACGGGGTGGACTAATATTTTAACGTTAAATGTTTGTGATTTTTTTTGAAACAAAAGTTTCAGCAATTATTACCCTTACTGACTTTATGACCTTTTTAATCTAGTAAGAATCATTAAAAAATGTTATAACTTAGATATATATATATAAAAACACGAAAGCTTTTTCGAGTAAATCCTACTAAAAGAGTATACGTGGCAAGTGTTTTTGACAATCTTCGATCAGATACGTAGAAGTATAAACTATTCTCGAAAAGGAACTAAACTCATATGTAGATCACACAATTACTACGACTTTTGGTCAAATGTAATTTTATTTATGTAAATTTCACTGGTTCGAAAGATATTGCTATTTGAATTTTATATGACTACGTATAATGTATACGTAGAAAATTTTTATTAGTGATCATCTCTATATTATCTGCACTATGTACGTAACTAAACCAACATGAGACGCCCCGATAACCGCTGATAGGCATAACATGATTATTGTTCAAGGTAATTTCATTATAACTATTTGTTAAATTCCATTTTAAACCAACTATCTTTTATTTCAATGAAGTCCGACTTCGCAACCGATATTTGGACAACTGCTCCTGTTACTGGGAAAAACCAGGGCAGCAATGTTACTGACAAAGATTTGAACGGGTTTCAATCACGAACATCTGACATTGGTCGCGTAATTCCACAACAGGAGATTCTTTCTCGTGTTGTCCCATTTTGGGAAGTAAGTTCTTAAATTTTTTTATTTATTATTTTTTTAAAACTCTACAAGGAATTTTAAAAATTTTTTATTTAAAGTTGTTTATTAGTAGTGTTGGTCTTTTTGGTTATCATATTGTAACTTTAGCTGCACATAATATCGGTGGTAACCGTCCTTATACCGTCCTTTTTTTGGACGGATGCAAATCAGAATTTCAACAACCAAATCTTGACGTGTGCGCAACATCAATTTTGACTTGGTGCTTGATTGGTGGGGCTCTGATATATTTTCTTTTGACCTCAATATTAGCATTGCTTTTATATAAGGAATGTCATAGGAATGGTTATCCTGGTTCATTCACGGCTCTATGGAATTCCCCATTTTTTCTTGTTTGCTACTTTTTCAATGAACAACGACGTATAGATCTTTTAACCATTCCCAATAGATTCATGAAATTTAGAAAATGGACTAATTGGCAACTTCATAGATTTGCTTTGGCGTCATATTCGCTGATAACTACACTTTTAGTTGTATATTATTTAACAAGAAAAACTGTTGATAATGACGACCTTATAATACAAAAGGAATATAAAAGTGATGATAAATTTTGTTAGTATCTTTTTTTTTTAATGTACTGGTTTTGCTTTTCTTTAAACTAGTAAGTCTGATTTTTGTTTAAAATTAAAACAGATCGCATATATAATCCTTATTTCCTTCCTTATTACGGAGCTATCTATTTTTATTGTAAGACTATAATTTCATCTTGGATAGAAGTCCGAAATCTTTTTAATAACGATTCTTCAGAATTAGTTGGGATTCATTATATGCATTTAAGATTGAAATAGACTTTCACTTTTGTCTTCATTTGTAAACCTTTTTTCATTCCAAATTTAATCCGAACGCGGGTTTCTTTTAATAAAACTAGCTTATTAGAAAATAATTTTTTTTAACTTTATATCAAATTTGTTTAATAAAATAACTTATTTTAATATTTAAAAACTTTTTTAAATTCTATAGTCTTGTAAATCCTTTAAATATCAAGATCGGATGCTTGTTATTGAGATATTTTTATTAGAAAGTTATTAAAAATTTGTTACGAGTTAGTTAAACTTGAGCCAGGTCAAAATAACCTCTAGCAGAATTTTAGAGTTAGTGTGGGCAGGAATTATGTTGATGTCGGCCGGGCTTTTTAATTGACTCGGAGTTAATAGTAATAAGAGTCTATATACGCAAAGAAGTAAGAAAAAACATTTAGCAAAAAATAGTAGATAGTCATGAAAAGGAAAAAATGAATAAAAATAGTTATTATGAGTAACTTCAATTACACTGTAAACAATATATTAGATAAATAAAATTTACAAGTTTCAAGTTTTAAAAAATTACAGATATTTAATTGAATAGAACATTCAATAAGTCAAAAATATATATGGTCTAATGAAGAAGTAGTAACAAGAATTTACTATATATAGATGTCAGAAAGACTAATTTCAGGTCTACAAAAAATAGAAATTGAAAATATAAAAAAGGTTATAGAAAGTAATTATAAGATAGCAATAGTAGAAATATATATAAAATATATAATAATAAAAAACAATAAATTAGAAATTAAAAGGTGTGATAACATGGATGTGGTGACTTAGTGAAGTGGATAAGTTGTCATACCCCCAAGTGGTAGGTTGTGAGTTCAAAATCCATTGATAACGAAATTTGGATAATTACCTATGTAATATATAGATGATATTATAGTGATAGCATTCTGTCAATCAGTTGGGATAGGATACCTGTAACTATGGTTGCACCAGCATGATTGACAGGTCTAGACATTTGTGTAACTTGTTACACAATGAAATGCAAACCGGTACCAGGCAATACAAAACTAAAATAAGTCCTTAAGTTGTGTAAATTCATAGAACTGAGAAGCTGAAACCTACTTAGAAATTCTAAGCAAAAAGATAATACAGATCTTCAATGATACTACTGTAAAGGTTAGATCTAAGAAATGAATACTAATGTGGAAAATTCAGGTAGGCAAAAATCTCAGGTAAGAGGTACCATTAATCAGGTCATCAGATTTTGGATCAGAGAAAAAGAATATTAGACTGGCTTCAATATATCAAGACAGATCACAGTTCTTCTGAGCTATCTGAATTGGGAGTCTGGGTTCAAAGCAGAGGTATACTAAAAGTACTAGAGATATGCTATAAAGTTAGTATTAAAGTCTGAATGAACTCTGTAAGAGTAGCCTATATTAGTATTCTAAAAGTGAATAAATAGTTAACAATAGAGAGTTCCTTGCATCTTACTAGTAGATGACATATTCTAAAATATGTAACAGCCTAGGAACCAATACAAAAAAGATAGGTAACCATACTGTTCAGATTGTATACTAGTTAGATATATATAAAGGGTAAGTTGAGGATTCCAATATAATAGGACAGATAATCAGAAGGTTTAAATAGATAATTTTCTAGTAGGTTATAGGTATAGCATCTAGTATAGAATCTTAGAATAGACTACTTAAATAGGTAACCAAAAGTTGCACATATGACTAGCTGTACTCTTATCTCTGTAAAAATAGTTGTAATAGTTAACCTAATATAAAGTCAATAAAGTCTTATTATAAGTATAGCCTTTAACAAAAAAAAAAAAAAAAAGGTGTGATAACCTAGTGAAATAGTCAGGTTGTCAACCTTCCAAGTGGTAGATTAGGTGTTCAAATCCTATTAATTACAAAAATTTGAATAATTACTTATATAATATTCATATTATAGTAATTGTTATTAATGATTGAGTTAGAATACCTGTAATAGCAGTTATATCAGCATAACTAGCAGGTCATGGGACATCTGTGCAATGTTAAAGTTATATATAAGAATGCAAACTGACAATTGGGTGATGTAAATACTAAATAAGTTCTTATAATTATATAAATCTGTTAAAATTGAATAACAAAAAGTCTATTTGAAAAGATCTAAATAAGAAGAAACTATAAATAAAAAAAAACTTTTTCTGGTACACTTTTGGTAATAACACAAAAATAACAAAATTTCACAAAAACTAAATAATAACTTTTTTTTAAACTCCTCTGGTAGGGCTAAAGCCCTTATATTCAAGAAAAGAAACTTATTTCTGTTAAACATGAGCAGCTTGATACCCAAGAGACCAAAACTTCTTAACACTAGAGCCAAAAAAAAGGACTTTGACTTGTCATCAAAACAAGAAAAAACTTCTATTATAGAAGCAGAAACAGCAAACATACCATATTTACCAAATAGTAAACCAAGTAAAAACAACAACCAAGGTGACAAAAACTGGGCCAGTAATATAGAACAAAAAGAAAAACCAGTTGGTAAAGACAAACAAAAAGCTACTTCTTTTACAAATGAAAATAACAAGGTAAAAAACAAGACACGTGCAATAGCAAATACAGAAAACAACAAACAAACAGATACAAAACACATGCATATCACACATGACAAAATCGATACACAAAACAAAATCATTGATAGCATAACATCAAATGATGTGAATGACAAACCAGCTAACAACAAACCCAAGCAATGGTCAGATTTATTCTCGAAGCTGAAAGGAGGCAAGGCAACCTTCTCTAACACAGTACCCAGAAACAAGATCTACTCTAAGAATGAAAATGCTCTTGTTTTTGACATTTCTAAGCTTATCAATATACCTACCAATAACATCATTTCAACCCTTTACATCAAACTGGAAGAAGATATGTTAGCAGCAAAAACTTACATTATCAGAGACAGACAGGCTCTCTTAGAAATAGCCTTCTTAGATAAAGACAAACAACAACTGTATGCTTCAGAAGGGATTACAATGTTTAAACAAACATTCTTTGGATATGTCCCAGTTAATCTTAAGCATACATTCCTTTTAGTTAAATTGAAGAACATACCAATAGGCAATAAAGAAGTTATCAATGAACAGATTAAGAAAGCTTTCCAGGATATCAGCACCATTGCCTCTATAAAACCACTTTTATATGAAGGAACCTCAATATGCTTTGACCAATGAATTGTAACTTTTGAAATATCAAATGATCCAAACCTGTCAGTCAGACTACCTAAACACATGCATGTTGGTGATCACAAAGTTACTACAGACTGAAAGGAGGCTCCAAAAATATGTTATTACTGTGAAAAAACAGGACATATTAAAAAAGAATGTGCAGAACTTAGAGCTTCAATAGAACTAAGACAGTTACAAAAAGAACAAAAAAAATCCTTAATGGAAACAAACAAACTTAACCAAAAAATGCAAACAGAAGATATATCCTACAGTTCAGAAAACCCATATATCTCAGATATGGTCACAGAACAAGATGGACCAAACACTAATGTACCAAATTCTAATTACTTAAAAGAAAATGACTCAATTAATACTATAAATGATTAGGATGTAACTTTTAAGGAAAACACAACTAGTATTCCTATTTCAAAACATGGTTCACCTTTAAAGAAAGCAAATCACAAGAACATAAATAATGCAACACCTGCTACAAACCATGACCAGGATATAACAATGGAACCATTGGACTGTAACAAAGAAAACAAAATTGAAGAGAAAAAATTTACTTTGGTCACTTCAAAAAAGAACAACCGAAAAGAAAACAAGAAGAAAACCCTTACAACAAGTGAGGAAAGTAAAAAGAGTAAGACAGAGAATGCCTGAACAGGATTCTCTTCCTACTAGTTAATCATTCTTACTCAGAACAAACTGCCATGTAGCCAACATATCTCTTTATATCTCATGATTAAAATTGCTACACTGAATGTCAAAGGCCTTAACAATAGAGTTAAAACTCAAAAAACCCTAACACTTTTAAAGTCTTATAAGTTAGATATAATATTTATTCAAGAAACAAATCTAAATGATCCTGCAACAAGAAAGTTTCTAGCACAACAATGGAATTATGACTCAATTTGGTCTTCCAAAACAGCTATTCTAATTGGAAAACCAAATATTAAACTAAAGAACTCCAAAATCTCACACAATGACAGAGTGATATCAGCAAAAGTAACCTTTAGAAATAAATTTTATTTACTTACAAATGTCTATGCACCCCCCAGCTGGAATGATAGGCATCAATTCTTTAACAACTGGACACCAATTAATGATGACAGTGCTATTACTATTATAGCAGAAGATTTTAACACCAATCTAGATCCTCAGATTAACTGCATTAGTCAAGCACCTTCACAAAATAACTCTTCTAGAAAACTGCTAAGAGAGCTCATGAAAGACTACATAGATACAGCAAGTTTTTCAAAGAGCAACCCCTTCTTAACCTTTTATCAAAACACTCAAAACAATCAATTAATAGCCACTTGATTAGATTACATATTTGTCAAAATCAAATCTGGCCACCTTAACTTTGAAACTACTACTAGACTAGGTAATTCAGACCATCTTCTAGTAGAAAGTACAATTTCAGACAAAAATAACTCATACTGCACATCACTTTTGGAAATTCAAAAAAGAACATTGGTATAACTTAGAACTGAGAGCTGAAATTATAAAAGAACTACAAGAGATAAAAGAAGTGCAAAACTGAGATCTTCACAAATGCATATTACAATCAATTGTTAGAGCTTTTAAACCAAACACAGCACCAAAAAGAAAAATACAATCATTACACAAAAAACTATGCAAACTAAACAACCAAATTGCCAATAGTCCTGATTTAGAAGATCTTCAACTTATTGCTGAATACACGAAAATACTAATCCAAGAAGAAGTTACATCTCTTTCTGAAAAATGGCAGATTCGGTCAAATGCTAAATAGATAGAAGAAGGAGAAAAGTCTACAAAATATTTCTACTCCCTCTACAAGGCTAAACACACAACCTTCTGCACAGCAGAGATAGAAATACCTAATAATATGGTTCTACAGAATCTCACTAATGTACTAGCTAACATTAGAGATAAATACCAAACAATATACAAAACAGAGAAATTTGACATAGAAGCTGCCAAAGAATTAACAAAAGACCTCCCTTTAGTTAACCAGACACAAAATGATCAGCTAACAAAATACATCAGTAAAGAAGAAATTAGCATGATAATCAACTTCTTGGCCAACAACAAAACTCCTAGGTCAGATGAATTAACTTACGAATTCTACAAGAATACAAAAGAAGAAATACTCCCATTTTTATTGACACTTTTCAACTATGTTATAGACACAGGCTGTATGCCACACTCATGAAACAAAAGTATAATTACTCTTATTCCCAAAAAGTCAGATGACTTGAAAGATATCAACAACTAAAGACCTATCTCCTTAGTTAACAGTGATGCTAAAATATTCATGAAAATTTTAGCAAATCATCTTAACCCAATATGCAACCAACTGATTAGGCCAGAACAACAAGCATTTATTGCAGGCAGATCTATAACTGATACAACTCTCGATATCTTAACAGTTATGAGAAACCAAGTAGACCAATCTAAACAACACTGGCTATTGCTCTTTGATCAACAAAAAGCTTTTGACAGAGTTAACCATTCCTATCTATAGCTAGTTCTAAAAGAAATGAATTTTGACAATAAATTCTGACAAGTTATTTATATATTATTTGCCTTACAGCAAGCTCATATCAGAGATGCTGGTAAAACCTCAGAACCTTTTAAAGTAGAATGAGGAGTCAGACAGGGTAACCCTCTCTCTCCTCTCTTATATGTTTTAGCCTTCAACCTCTTTCTTCAAGCTCTCAACAAGAGCCTGTTTGGAATTCAAATTAAAGAAAAGTCTTTCAAGATAGCAGCCTATGCAGATGATCTAACACTAGGCTTTAGCACTGCTTCAGATTAGAACAACTTTATGCTTCTAGCTCAGAAGTATAAAAAGGCATCTAATGCAAGAATCAATAAAAACAAATCAATACTAATACCTCTTACAGAAAATGCTCGAAGAATACAACTTCAAGAAATAGAAAACCTTCAAACTAAAGAATAAGATGGCACAATTACCATCCTAGGCTATGAAACTAACATTGAAGGAAAGTCAGCAAAAGACCTATAACATAAGATAACAAACAAAATTAAGAAAAAAATTGACTATCTCTCTACAAGAAATCTTTTTTTTAAAAAAAAGATTCTGGTTACAAAAACCTTACTTATATAAAGATCTGATATCTAGCTTATCTACTACCTCCAAGCAGAAAACAACTTAACAAAATAGGCTCAATTCTCACTAAATGGATCAAAAATAAATCTAAAATGCTTCCATGCTACTCAATATTTTAAACTGATGAAAAGCTAAAAGGCCTAAAAGCTCCTATTCTAAAAGATCTACTTGACGCAAAACTATTATCAATTTGGACAAGACTACTAACTTGAAATAGCTTCTGGTCAAATATAGAAAGAGAACTAATTACTACTGATCTTCAAAACAAAAGAAGAATAATACCCAAAGCTGCTCTAAACCAAAATAACATTAAGCTAAAAGGGTGGTCAGAAAGATGAAAATCCTATCTAACAGCTTGGAAAAGAGCAGAAGGATTGATTACAAAGAACAACACCTGGCCTTGGACCTTAGATAATATCAAAATAAAATCGATGACAGCAAGCAACTACTCAGTCAAAACTATGACTGAACTTCTTTGAAATGAAATATCTACTACAACACAGAATAGTATACCAAGTCAAGAAACCCAGTTAGATTATACATATGAGTGGATGAAACTTAGAAATATTCAGAACAATAAAAAGAACATTTTTTGAAGACTAATGCATAGAGCCCTACCCTTAGGTTATCGGACTACTCACTTTGCACAAAACTCTGATGATAGCTGTCCAGGCTGCCCATACATTACTCAAACTATAGAACACTTTGCACTTAAATGCAAAACTAGTAAACGAATTTGGGAACAAAGCTATAAACTGCTTAAAAACAATGAAATAGAGAATCCTCCAACCTCAGTAAAAGAAATAATTAATGCAAATAACATCCAAAATGCCAAAAAACGCAAAGCAGTACTGTGGATCCATATTCATGCAATTTACGAAATTTGACATTAGTTTACTTAAGCAAAATAGGGCAATAATCTAATATCAGACAATATAATTAGCAATATAACAAATAATAGACTTAGAAAAGAAATTAAAGTACTTAACACTTTACAATGAAGAGAATCCAAAAAAGGATCTGCTTTAAAAAAAAAAATTTTAGACTTTATTAATCTAAATAATAGCTATATGTAATTCACAATTATCTTTCAATAAATAAATAAATAAATATGCTTAATTGCGGTTGTTTTTTTAAAAAAAAAAAAAGATCTAAATAAAGAGATAACCAGATCTTTAATAATGCTACTATAAAAATTAGACTACTAGAAACAGATATTAAAGTTTTAGTAACTAGACAGGCAAGAATCTTCAAATTGGAAGTCTCAAAAATATCATCAACCAGGCCATCAAAACAAATTGAAAAAAAATATATTAGACTAACTCAATATATTAATGAACTGGTTGTAGTTTTATATAAATTATCTGAATTAAAAATCTGATAAAATTCAGAAATATACTAAAGTACTAGATAATGCATAGCATTGTATGTTCGAAGCCTAATATATGATGATCAGTATGCTACACAAATGTGAAATAAGTATATTAGTATTACATTAAAATACAAATATAGATATATGTACAGATACACAAAAAATTTCCAAATTGCATTTCTGATATTAATTTCATAATTTTTATATTCGTACATCAAAAAGGTATCATTTTTTGAGCCAAATGCATCAAAAATGTAACTTTTGTATCACATGCTGAATAATTTAGTGTTCTTCACTTCACTCCAGACAATTAAAAATATGCTATGAAGTAGATACTGAGGTTTAGTAAACTTTACAAGAACATAGCAGTTTAATAATTAAGTTCTAATTATAAGTGTTAGTCCTAATATAGTAACATCTAGGTTAGCTACAAAAATAGATACAAAAGGCTTTGAAGGATTTATTTTAAAGATAAAATAATTCTAAGGTTGAGACAATAATCTAAGTATCTGGATATAATTCAGTAATATTAATACAGATTACAGATTTAGAAAGTTTAAAGTAGAACACCTAAGCAAGAATAATAAGTATAGCAATTGGTAAAGAACCTTCAAGTAAACAACTTAAATAAGTAATATAAAAAAATTACATGTATAACCAATTGTATGTTTTTCTATAGTAATTTATAAAATTATATTACCAAAAAAGTTATTAATAAAAAGTAAAAAAACCAAAGAGGTTATCTTAACAAAAAAAAATAAATAAATAAAACAGAAATAAAAAGAAAAAATTAGTTAATAATATTATATATTTATGATAAAACAAAAGCTAAAGAGTAAAAAAACTACGCAAAAATTGCAAAAGTAATTAAAAATAAAAGAGACATTAAAGCATATTTAAAAAAAAATAAGAAAAAGAAAAAAAGATACAAAAGATAAACAATATATAGAATATAATAGAAAAGACAATTATAATAATAACAATAATCAAATAAAAAATTTACCAATTCTCCTCTGTAGATCCCTTGACCAAAAATTGATAAGAAGCAAAATGTAGAAAATATCACAAAACATACTAAAAAGCAATACTGAGACTCTTAGTAGAAAAGAAAAAGCCACAAAAGTTACACTTAGCTAATAGAACAAAATATAAGTAGAAGAGCTTAGAGGTAACAAAGCTTGGAAAAATAAAAATTTTCTAACAAAAACAAAAAAAAATTTTGTAAATTTTAGAGAATTCCTATAACTCTGTTGTGCAGATTAACTAAGTTACACAGAAAATACAACAAAACAAGTAAGGTAAACAAACAAGCATGTATACAGATATAGTCTATCAGAGCAAGCATGTGACATAGAAACAGCTATATTAAACCAACTGATGAACAAAACGATAACAATCAGTATAGGAGAAAATACATATAAAGTAAGACTTAGGAGCCTATTAGAAAAGGTGTTAGAAAAATCAATAGCACAAAGTTTACAAAGAGTTGACAATGCAGAGCTAGTCAAAATATTAGAAACAACAGATATTATAGAAACAAGAATAGACAAATATATAGTATTACTGTTCGCAGCAGATGTAGCAGATATAGCAGCAGTAAGAGCATTAAGTAAAGCTATTGCATAGGTGAACAAAAGAAGTAAATTGATAGATTTCAGCTTTAAAATGAAGAATAACTCACAACAGCAGAGAGAAAGAGAAAAAAAAAACACAATTCAGCCAAAAGAAATAGTTGAAACAAAAGAAAATAAAAAAAGAAAAAAATATGAAGAAGAATCCAAAAAATATAAAACAGATAAGAAACAGATAGTAATAGATAAAAAACAAAGATATATAGTGCAGAAACAAGATATAAAAAAAGCAAAAAAAGATGAAAAGACTTTACAATACACTTCAAGTCTAGTAAAAGCAAAAGAAAAGAAAGAAAACAAAAAAGAAGATTTAATGATACTGCAAGAAGATGCAACAGAAGTACCATTAGAGCAAAGCATTTAGACATCAAACAACAGACCATGCAACAATGAAACACCAGTAATAATGAGAATTTCTGCCTATAATGTTCTAGATGAAACAAAGCCAGAAAGAACAGAAATGGTAAATAGATGCTTAATGCAAACAGACATATTACAAAAATTGAAGAAGTCTTTGTAAAAGACAATAGTTAAATTGAAGTATTATTTGATTGCAAAAGAGAAAAAGAAGAAGCAATTAATCGAATAAAGCAAAAAGATGAAGGATGGTTTAATTTGATTTTAGTCAAAATGCAAAACCAAGTAGAGAGTAAGAAAAAGCAAGATACAGCAATAAATGAGTGCAGAGTAAAGAATAAACAACAAAGAGAAAGATCTAAAAACTCAAAATGAAAAGAGTCTAAACAAAAAAAAACACAACAAAGCAAAATAGAAAAGCAAGATAAGGCTAAAACAGAAGCAAAAAGGTGGCAAACAGAAAGACTAAAAGAAGCAGAAACAACAAAATTCTTAACAATTTGGAATCTACCATCAGACATTAATAAAAAGAAACTGAAATATATGTGCAGAAGTATAAGAAATATGCGTATAATATGAATTAAAAGATCACAATACAAAGCACTAGCAGTTATAGTAGCAGATTATAAAGAAGAGAAAGATAACATATGGACATTACCTCTTGGCAACAATAGATTAGCAAGAGTAATAAAAGAAAATGAAAACTATACACAAAGAGAGAAACAAAGTCAGTTTACAGCAAAATTGCTAGACATTTCTAAAGGAGCATTAGAAGTGCTTTTATTAAGATGTCTAAGAAATAAGAGAGCAAAGGCGATATATATATACTATTTAACAGAAATGGAAACCAAAAAAGGTTTGCAATAATCATCTTTGCAAAAGTGCAAGAAGCAGAGATAGCTCAAACAACACCAATATGGTACAACAACTATCGAGTAAGTTGAGAAAATCCTAGAAGAAGAAAAACTTACGAGAGAGAAGAGTCAAGAGGCAGAAGACAAGAAAGATCAAAGTCAAGCAATAAGAGGCAGTTGAAATACAAAAAACAAGAAGCATCGAGAGTTAGAGGCACAAGACATGAAACACCAACCAAGAGATATAAAAAAATAGAAAGTAATTCTCAGTTACAAAATATAGAAGCATAGTTAGGAGATAAAAATATAGATATAATGGAAGAAGCAGCAATAACAAAAAAGAAGAAAGCCAAAACAAATATACTAAATCAAGAAAGAACATCACCAGCAGAAAATGTCCTGTGTTAAATATTAGAAAGACTAGATAAAATAGAAGAAATGCAGCTAGAAGTAGAGAAGATCCAGCAGATCACTCCTAAGAGTGCCTTAGTTGAGTTTAGGAATACAGATGAGGAGATTGAAGCCTTTCTACAAAAAGAAAGAAAAATGTTTGAAGAAAAAAAACAAGAAACATCTCCTTATCTAAGGAAAAGAAAGGTAGCCAAAAAGACTAACAATATAGAAGCAAAACAAAATCAATTAAAAGAAAAATAGAAAGAAGAAAGAAAAGAAATTAAAATAGCATATTATAATATCAATGGCTTGAAGACCAAAGGTTGGAAACCAAAACTTAGTGAACTGAGCAGAAGAAGAAGAAATTGCAATATTGGGAATCACAGAAATGAACATTACTAAAAAAGAAGGAAGATTTTTAACATATATGGCAAACAAAAATTATATAGTATATTAGATGAATGTAGCAGAAGTTAAGAAAAAAGGTTCAGATATAGGAATTCTAATAGAAGAATAATGGGAAAAGCATGTAGACATTGTTAAAAGAATAAATAAATACATAATAAAGATTACATTATACTTCAAGTAATTGAAGTTAGTAGTAATAAGAATTTATATACTACTAAGTAACAAGACGATAGGAAGAATCATTTAGCAAAAGATTGTAAAAAGGATTACTAAACAGAAAAGACAAACATAATTTGTAATTATGGGTAACTTTAATCATACAGTGATCAATATAATAGACAAACAATATCTACAATTAGCAAATTTCAAAAGATTACTGATCTTTAATTAGATGAAAAAGCAAAGCTTTATAGACATATATAGGAATATACATTCAACAAGTCAAGAGTATACATAGTCAAACAAGAAAGCTGCAACAAGAATTGACTATATTTGAATATTAGAAGAACTGGCTTCAGGTTTGCAAAAGGCAAACATTAAGGAAACAGAAAAAATTACAAAAAGCAATTATAAAATAATAATTGCAGAAATATAGATTAAATACATGATAGGGAAAAATAGTAAAGCAGAAATTAAAAAGAAAGGACAATCAAGAACATTATATTTATATAATCAGGCAAAGCCAGAGGATTGGGAAAACTACGCACAAGAACTACAAAAGCAATTAGTGACAAAAGAAAGCTTAAAAGATATTTAAACAGAAGTGCAAGATGAGAAAGAACAGTTAAACAAGATAAATAGTATATGGGATACAATAGAAGAAGCAATCATTATTGCAGCAAATAAGCACTTACCTAAGAAAAGAATATATGATACAGTAGCAAATAGAAGAACTAGTCAAAAAGCACAACAACAAAAAAAAGATATCATAAAGCTGCAAAGATTAATTAAACACACAAAGACAAAGAAAAACCAAGAAGTAACAGAAGAAGAAAAAATTAAAACAAATAAGCAATTAAAAGCACTAGGCAACAAAGCAGAAGCAAAACTGCCAAAATTACAAAGGCACTGGTTACATGCCTGGATAGAAGACATAAAAGATTGGCAGAAGATCTTATAAAAAAGGAAGAAAAAAGACTGGAAACAAACACAAAGAAGACAAATAAAAGAAAATATAGATAAATGATATGAAATAATCAAATCAGACCAAGAAAAAATGCTTGCCAGCCTGTTAAACAAATCATACAAAAAGATATTGCTTGATAGGCTTATTAAGCAAGTAGAAGAGAAGACATATCTAATAATGAAACCAGAAGAGGTTAAGGCAAATATAGCTGAACATTATAAGTTGCAGTTTAGGAAAAGAAACACTAGACTAAAAGCAATAACAGAAAAGTGAAAAGAGATATACAAACCAAGAGAAAGCATTAGAGAGGAATGGTATACAGAACTTGAAAAAAAAATTAAAGAAAAGAATAGGAAGAAATACTAAGAAAGTTAAAGACAAGAACAGCTCCTGGTATCTTAGGTATAAGCTATATACTAATCAAAAGAGCAAAAGCAAAGATACAAGAAATTTTCAGAAATTTTGCAGACCTATGTTTAAAAATAGGAAAAATCTCAATAAAGTGAAAAATAGCACAAGTATACCCAATACCAAAGAATATATAGTGGGGATATAGTTTAAACAACATCTGCCTAATAGCATTAATCAAGACATTTAGAAAGATTGTTACAAAGGTGATAATGAAAAGGCTTGCCAAAGTATTTATGGAAAAAGAAATACTTAAAGGACTGAACTTCGCAGGTCTTTCAAAAAACTTAACAGAGCAACCAGTACAAATTTTAAACATAATAATAGAAGAAGCAAAAGAAAAAGATAAAGAAATATAGATACTGTTGCAGGATATGAAGAAGGCATTTGATTCAGTTTCTCTCGAAAGTCTTGAACTAGCATTGCAAAGAATTAAAATACTTAGAAAAACAATTAAATATATATTAAAACTTTTTCACAAGAGACAACTAATAATAATTACAGTATATAGCCTAACAGAAGAACTAACAGCAGAAGATGTAATAGACCAAGGTAAGGTAATCTCACCACTAATATGGCATTTCTTTTATAACCCATTACTAGAAAGAATTCAAGAAGATAAAGGGTTAGGGTATACAGTTGAGCAACAAATACAAATAGGTATGCAATGCAACAATATTACAAGATATTGTCAAGCAGCAATTGCATATGCAGATGATACAATATAGATTGCAAACAGTAATAAGCAACTATTAAAGATCTTAGAAATAGTGAAAGAGTTCTTTAAAATGAATGATATAGAGATAAATAAATCAAAGTCAAAACTGATAATAATGAATACAAAAGTCAAAAAAAGAAAAGTGCAGTAATATATAAGAAAAGCAAAATGTGAGAAGTGCAAGTAAAGAAAAAGGCAAAAGGGATAGTAAACCAAACTATAAGAAATTTAAAGTACAAAAAAATGACAATGAGCCAGATTGCATATATAAACAATATGGTTATAATATCTAAACTAAGCTATATGTTATAGCTAATAAAACTGTCAGACAGAAACTTAGACAAAATACATCAACCAATAATAAGTCTGGTAAAACAAAAAAGCAGCCTTCAAAGAACAGTAAAAAACTGCATAATGAAGCACAAAGATGTCATAGTGAAGAAAGGTATGCAGTGTATCTTGTAAGAGGAATGGATTTAGAATACTAACAGAGTAAGTAATTAATTAGGTTAGTAAAAAAAAAAAAAAAAAAAAAAAAAATGTATACTTAGCTTAAAGAAAAGGGAGGGGTATTGAACGTTTGTTGAGAATCATG